ACTTGCTCATTATATGTATACCACTTCTAGTTGAAGAGGTTTATATGTGAAAATGAATTCTCTCAAAAGAGTGCCATGCTGTGCATGTGTGTCACATCCAACAAATGACCAGCCCGACATGCCAAGGGCATAGGGATCTCAGGTCGTTTGTCAGCACCGCATTCGGTGCGAAAAAGGCTGGCCCAGGAACTGAGCACGAAGCAGGATGTTTTAAATGGGATGCAGGAAGACACACGACTGCAGTTCCCAAGAGTGACATGGAAAAATCTTCACCTACTTACACCCCTGCAGGGTGTGGCGACTTGGGGTGTGAACATCCGTGGCAAAAACTCCCTTCTTTTTGAAATCGCAGCGTTACAAAAGGAGACTGTTGCCCTCCCAGCACAAGGTTGAGGTCATAGCCCCATCTTATTGTAGTGAGGCACGTCGGCACATGGCACACCTGGCGTGTGCAAAGCAAGTGCATGCATAATTCCAGGATTTCCAAGTCTCCCATCCTTTGTTTGTCGGTATCATTGCCAAGCAAATCATTGGGCACATGTCGTCTTTCACTCAGGAGCATGATGGATGCGAGATTTTCGGCGTAGGGGTTAGCTGACCAATTCGGCACATGTTACTCAACTAATGGTGGTATCGCGAAACATCTTAGGTTGATGTTCCCCCCGCTTGTCTTGGGATGTCCCACTGCGGCTGACCTCGGCAAGGTACCAAAGGACTGCAGCTAGGCTGAGGCTGAGGCGACATGGTGACCTGAAAGTGGCATTAAAAAACTAAAGGGTGACATGTTCAGAGCATGAAGAAGCTCTTCAAAAAGATGAAGAGAGAGAAGGAGGAGAGAAGCAGGATCAATGCATCCCCGCATTCTAAGGGGTGAAATGCGTGGTGATTGGGGCTAAGGCTCCCAAGAAGACTACGCATACTAAAGGTAAGGAAAAGAACAAAACACTAAAGGCAAACAAGGCTTATTAGCTGGTATCGATTGGTATCGCTTGCTTGTTGTGCAGAAATGCATCAAACTCGCAATTGGACATGCTTAGTTTCTGGAAGTCAGGTTTCTGAAGCACGATCGGCTCTGCGGCTTGTTCTACAAAAAAGAAAGTGTACCTGTCAATTAAGGCCGAACACATGATTCGTCTTGGCTCATCAAAGCAGCCACCTGCCACGTCAGCCATATAAATTGCATGACAACAGGTCTTGATGCAGTCTGAAATCATGCCAGGTGCACCAGCATTGTGAACTCTTCAATTTGCACCATTGGGCAAAACCGAGATGAACAGAACATGTTTCATTGGTATCGACACTTTCCAAGTTCAGTGGCTTTGGCCCTGAAGTGTGTGGGGATGAGCTCCATCAACCGTTGGCCCCTCAAGGACGCATTGCTTGGCAGAGAATTGCCCCCCAAAATGCCAGGCCCTTGCTGTTTGTAAACCTTGTCCTGTACCCCTTGATTCGTTGGGAATGAGAAACTGGCACGGCCAATACATTGCCCTCTGAAGGAGCACAATCAGCACAACGCAGAGATCTCCAGATGTTCAACCGCGACGGCCAGTTACACCTTCCAGCTCCCCGACTGCGCATCCTACTTGCTCAGAGGTACCGTGGACATACGTACGGGCCACGTCACATGGTGTACCAAAGCGGTATCCGTCGAGTTTACATCTACCGCCGCTGTGAGTACGAAAGCCACGAGGTGAGCCTAGTTTGGCATCCCAAATTGTGGTACCTCACCAGGTTTTGGAATGTTGAAAGTCATCCGGTTCTGCACCTCACCTCTGGTCAAGCCAAACGTTCAACCGTTCAACCCCGTAGGCGAGGACGCAGGGCCCATCCTCTTTTTCATTCAAGTGCTACCCCATGAGGTCTGACGGCAGAGTCGATGGCTGCGCCGGCTGCGCCGGCGCCGGCGCGGCAAAGAGGTCGTCCAAGAGGTCTGGCGCGCTCCACCGCGGGGGCCGCGGCGCATCGCACCGAGCGGCATGCAGGCGTGGGACCGGACGGATGATGGAAGGTGCAAATGTTCCGAACGGATTCGGTGGTGTGGAGGTGGCAGAAGCTCCTTCTTCCGATGATATAGTGGGTTCTTAGTGGGTTTGGGCAAATCTTCCCAAGACATTGGTCGCCCCGGCAGTGGCTTCGGCTTCGCACCCAGAATCTCCAATCTACTAGCGAGGGCCTCTCCAACCTACTAGCTTCTTGCTATACTAGTAGCTTCCTGCTACTAGCCTGCTCCCCTCCAAAAAAAACCGCACCAATCCCCTACCAATCCCCTACATCGCCTCCTGTGGCTGTCTGTGCGACAGTGACCTGGCTGCCACCGCCACCCAGAAGGTCAGTGTCCACCGGCGCTGCCTGGCACGTCGGACTCGGTGCGGCTGTCAGACAGTCGGTTTGGAGGCATTGCTTCTTCTCTCAGGTCCGTGACGAGGAGGAAAAAAGAATGCCTTGGAACAACTCCGGGACCAATATATGTCACAACATGCAACAACCAACAATATATATATATATATTATGTAACAATCCGTTTGTGTGTGTGTGTGTTTTTTTTAATGTCGATTTCAACCTCCTCTCAGGGTGAGGTGGCTTGCGGCTTCCGTGAGCTCACGGAGGCTCCGCCACATCCGATGCGTGGCGCCTGTGGAACGGCTGCGCCGCCATTGACCTGGCAGGCTACGGCTACGTCTACGGCTACCTACTCGGCGACTCGTTTTGTATTGCTGGTATTGTTCGTGGGGAGTTGCCTAGGAAGTGATATTGAAAGGCCAAAATGAAATGGAAGAAATACATCAACGAGCCAAGAAGAATTGAGATCACCCTACGACGTGTTGTCCTTCTTTTCCATCGCACACCTCGCCTGTGATGGTTTGGCGAAGGATGCTGGCACTTCCCCACCCTGGCCAGGTCAACCACGCGCATGTCTTCGCTTCAACGACTCCAAAGATGTAGGCAAATCATGGCAAGCCCATCACAAAACCACCCTCCCCAAAGGTGTTCTTTTGTTACAGTTGGCATATTAATTTAGTTCATATAGTAAGCACTTATAACATATATTAATAATAGTATTAATAGTATATATATATATCATGACGTATTTTTCTTTCACATCCTCCGTTGCCTCCGCCCGATGGGCCGTCCCCAACCCCCCCCGGCGGAGGCCGTGCGGCGTGACGTGGAGGTGGGGGCGCCTCGAGGGGTGGGGGTGGCATCTTGGTCGCCACAAAAGGGCTACCGGACACCTGAAGACGCGGCGGCTAGAGACGGGGCGTCCAGGTTCGCGGACGCGGACGCGTCGAGCTGAGCTTGGAGATGCAGGACATCTGGGATGGTTTTTGGGGGGTGCGATGTCGCAAAAGTCATCAGTACACAAGAGATCACAAGAGTACGAACACAAAAATACACACTCGTGGCAAAGCGGCTTTGGGAGAAAATCAGCTGTGATGGACATGATGACTAGTAGTAACAAGAAGCTATTAGTAACAAGTGCATCGCTACTAGGAACAAGTGCCTTACTAGTAGTAACAAGAAGCTAACGTTGTTTTCCCGATGAACCCCACCTGGATGAACTTGGAAGCCGGCTGTTTGTACACAGTGCTCAACCTGGACTCGACTCTGCGGTCGCTGAACATTTTGGTGGATGTCCCCTTTTGAATCCTTTTCCTTTCTTCATCTTTCTTCCTTTCCTTGCTATCCTTCATTCCTTCCTCCATTTTCTTCCTCTCTGACTCCTCTCCTCCCCCGCTCACTCTCTCACTCTCTCTCTCTCTCTCTCATGATTGCTGAGCAAACGTCACCTTGTCACATGTGAATTGTAGTGGCTGATCCGATTTGAAGTGCTTCGCATCAACCGGTTCTACATACTTCGGATCAAACATGTCTTTGGCTGCGGCAAAACACGAGCGGAGGGAGAGAGGGAGGGAAAGCGAAACATGTACAAACTGCACCCAGAGGCATAGAGGAAAGAAGAATTCTATGAAGGGTTCCTGTGTTACAAGTGCCCCAACTGCCAAGTGTAAAGACTAGTTGTCTGACTATGAGCTTTGCCTCACCAAATATCAGCTTTGCCACATGAAAAACACACCATCAGACCGCGACGCGGTCACTTCCATTCGCGCCAATCCCGGTGCCGGGACCGGACCATCGTTGGGACCGGACCGCCGCCCGGGTAGCTCCGCCAGCTCCGCGGCAGGCCGTTCCGCCTGTCGGCCTGCTGTTCGGGCCAAGGAACGAATTGAACTCCTCGAAGACACGGTCTTTGAGGTCGGCATCCATCTGCCATGTGCGGTGGATTGTGCTCCGTCACGGTCGTGCGTCGTCCCGTCGACCGTCTTAGAGCTTCGATCTATACAGAGCCAGAGAAAAACAAATGACTCAGCAATATCGGGAGTCATTGAAACAAAACAACAACAGATAGTCACATAGCGCTTCTTCTCCCACTTGAACCACGACTTAGTAACTTCATGCCCCTTCAGGAAATTGACATGAGTTCTTGAGACACGAGCTCTTCAGCCAGACTTGACCAAGTCCGGCTGTGCCTCCTCCTGGAACTCTTCGACCACTTCCTTTGGAGCGCAGATCACTCTGCGCGCCTCTTCTGGGGAAACCTGCAGTAACCTGCATCGCTCGCGAAAGGGACAGCTAGCTGAGAAGCATTCCAAACTCAGACCGCGGGCACTACAGTTCAAATTCAACCCAGGTTGCATCCACATGCACACTAATCCCTGAACTGAACAAGTCCGAGCATGTCTCCGGTGCCTGTAGTACAGAAGGGCTCTATCCCGAACATCCGGATGCGTGCAATCCTGGATGGCCTAGCAGTGGTTGGATTGAAGAAGAACAAGACCATCATCAAACGGAGATTTCAGCACAAAGGAGCACGGAAGAAAACTGAACATCAACTATCGCATATATCAACATTTAAGCCAACCATAAAATTGCTAATGAGGGAAACACAGTTTTTTTCCTGTTTGTTTCACAATTTCCCACCTCTTGAAGAAGCCGTCCCAGCATCTTCTGCACCTCCGGCGGCCGACAAAAAAAGAGCTTCACCTCAGCGTTCAGCGAACGCGCTTCCGCTCCGTCGCGACATCAGCGTACGTTGCGTTGTCCGAAATGTGTGGAACAAAGAAGCCATGCAGCAGCCATGCATTCAAAAAGGTGTCTCACTGGCTTCAAGCCACAAAAAAACACAAAAGGAATAGCGGTTCAGAGGTCAGACCCTCCCAAATGTGATTTCATCTCACGTCAGATGACAGTGATTGCTTTCTTCAAAGTGACCTAATTCCGAGTACCTATCAATAAACACTCCCCCATAAAAAAACACAACGTCCAAAGCCCTAAATTCGGCTTATATTTGTTTTTAAATTACCGCCCTTTCAAGCCACTACTAAACTACCAACATGGTCGATTTGGGGGGTAGTTTCTTCAATTAGGTTCCCCCAAAACTCCCTCGTGACACGCCGCGTTTGCACCAGCCAGTTTTCCTTCCTCCAATGGCACGGACTCACGCAAACGCACTTGCCTCCGAGGTCGTGCAAAACCGCATGGCACAGCGACATCACCTTTCGAAAGCCTTGGTTGTTAGCCAGTATTCTAATAAAAGTTTTTGTAGGGGAAAAGGAAGACCCTTCGATCTGGAAGTTTTTTGAATTTTTGATAGGAGTTTAATAAAGGATTTTATATAAAACTTTTCTGGATGACTTTTTGGTTTTGAAGCTCTTCCCAGGTGACCCTATTTTGGACCCCCCCGATTTCAGGGACCCTCTATTAGAAAAAATGCGACCGAGTCTTTTTTTAATAGGGGGGGGCCGTGTTTATTAATAGGTGGATTATTTTGATATCCCTGTTTGAGGTCACGAACAGGCCTGTAAAAGGTCACTGGATGGCACTCCAAAGAGGTCACTTTGAAGAAGCATGGTGATGAGCTTTCTTCCGAGGGAGTGTTGAGATCCCGAACGGCTGCCGTGAGCATCTCCAGCTGCACAGCACCGCTCGACTCCTCGGAAAGAGTTCGGTCGAACACGTGGCATGTCAATGGCCTCCACCCTACTAGCGCCTCCAACCTAATAGCAAAAGGAACCAACCTAAGCGCTGGCCTCCAACCTAAGAGCGATGGCCTCGAACCTTAACAGCGTTGTGATTCATCGCTTCGTTCCTCTTCGTTCGTGTCCTCCATGAAGCCATCAATCATGGGCTCCAGCAAGTACGGCGCGTCCTGCGACGAGGACGTTCCTCTTCTTTTCCTTTGACCGTCCTCGGACACCATCCTCGACGTCAGTCCGCAGGAATGGTCGACACTCGACACCGTCCTCGATGAGCAGGCCGTACTCGCCCAGAATCCACAGCAAGGCCTGGGGAACGTTCCAGAGGAGCGTTCCTTCTCCGATCGGATTCCACCGGGAAGGTGGAGAGAAACCGATACGGAAAAACGAGTTCCATCACCGTCTTCTGTCTTCGACTGCCATGCGCAACAGTTCCATCTACAGTTCCTCTTACTTTCCAGTTAAATAGCATCAAAGGGTCACATGTCAAGCTTCAACCTGGTCGATGCTTTGGTTCATCCTTATTTTGAGTCAAGAGGCACTCTTGCCATCAGGCTCGCTGACAATTTTTAGGCATTTCCTGAGCACAGCAAAGGATTGGTCAAGAAACTGAACATGAATGAACTGCCATGGTTGTCCAGATCGTGAGCTGATCGCAGTTCGACAGACCAAAACCGTCGCGATGTGTCACGTCGCGACGTCGCGACCGTCATCGTCGCTCGCGACGTCATCGTGTGGAGTCGACGACGTGTGATGTGAGTCACACGACGCGTGGAGTCGACCCGCTGGGTGCCCCGTTCTGCACTGCCCCCGAGGCTTGCTGAAACTGCTCGGGATACCTCGAGTTTCAGCGGTGGAGACGGAGCGGAGAAGGTGTTCGGAGACGGAGACGGAGGTTCGGTCAAAGCCAGCGAAGGTCGGGAGTGAAAGATCCCAGTGGACTGATTTGCCACTGTTGTATGGTTTTACCAGGTTTTCAGGGGTTGGACGTGCCATGTAGGTCAATCATCAATCCATACATGGATTGGGATGGGATGGGCTTTCAGGTCTTCTCTGTCTTCCACTTTTTGGCGTTTTTATCGCCCAATCCAACATCTCGAAGCATCAGCATCGCTTCCAAAGTCGGCAACTGAGATTCCAACTTCCGTACCAGGTCTTTCATGACCACTGCTGCTTCTGTACAAACCTGACGGTCGCGCGTCGCGCCACAGCGGGGGGAACTGCCACACTTGCTCGGTCCCTCGGTCCCACGTCCCGATCCGACGTGGCCAAGCGATTCGCCGCGCCGGGCGTCAGCCGCACGGAACTGGGCGTCTCCGGCGTAATCGATATCCAACTCCAACAAGTTGGACAAAGAGCTCACGATCATCTCCGAAGTCGAAGGCACATGAACCTGGGGCAATTTTGGGCAGGTCTCTGGTCGAAAGCTTCTCAAACCAAAGGGGTCGGGAAAAAGGAAAAAGGGCCGATTTCGTGGGAAACTACGGTCGCAGCAGGAGAATCTCCACAGAAAGAGCATGGTGATCCATTTTGCACCAAATGAGGCTCCCAAGAGGCTTGTTGGGGCTCCCTCAACGCCCAAAAACCGTTCAGTCCACTTGCTCAAACCTATATTGCTTACTTTGGGACTCAAATCTTTGAGAAATCTAAAAGTCATCTCCAAATGTGCTCAAAAGTGGTCAAAAAACATGTCAAAAAACATGTCATTACTCTCATGCTCATTCCGGAGGTGCCGTGGTCAATCTCTCCTGATCTCCGTACTCCTCACCCGTCACTGCGGCTCCGCTGAGCTCCCCCGGCCGCGATGGTGCCGATGGCGCGGATGGCCCGGCGCGCGATCTCCACGTCCACCTCGGTGACGTACCTGGCGGGGGCGCGCGATCTCCGCGTCGCGCCGATAGCGTTCACCAAAACGAGGTTCCAGTTGTCGAGGGTTAACAACTAAAGGTTCAACAAACGAGTCTGATGTCTCAAGATGTCGAAGTTGAACACGCAGGGTGATCGTGATCCGTGAGCAACTGCCGTTGTCAGACAGAATCCTCCTTTCTTCCATGTACTGCATCTGTCAGATAGAAGCAACCTTCGGAAGCCAAACTCGAACCAAACTCGAACCCTATAGCTCCTCGCTCCCAGCTGCGGACGTCCGCATGCTACTAGAGTCCATGGCCGTCGGCGTCACTCGCTGAGCTCCATGACGATGTGCTCGGCACCTCGGTCGAAGCGAACAAAGGAAACCATGACAAAGACCGGAGGTGTCCTTTCTGGGACTGTGAAGGAGGATGCAGGCTAAATACTGCAGTTTGGCGTTTGGGAATCCCAATCGATGTGGGTTTGGGTGTCCTTTGGGACCTTCCACACTCTGTCCAAAGGCTCACCAATCAGTGCGCTGGGCTATGGTCCTTTCTCTTAAGATCTCTTAAGAGGTCTTGGGGGTCGTTCATTCTTTTAGTACACAGCCACATGGAGAGGCTGAAAAGGCTGGAACTTGAGCAGCTTGTGTTGAGATCCGGGCTGTTGAAGTCTGCCAGCATGGTGAGGATGTCAATCTTCACTTGCTTAATGTACCTGCCACGACATCAGCCAGTCCGACACATGTTCACGCGACTTCTGCTCCGGCTTCTGCTGCTTCGATCGCTCAATATCAGCGCACGAGGGCTCGTTGTAGCGACAGAAGAATTGCTTGAAATCCCCTTGGAAGACCTGGTCACATCGCTCTGCTCACGTCACCGACATGACCAACGCCCCCCCCTTCAAACCACATGACCGACTCACCAGAAAGACCCGTCGAGTTGTGGTTCACAAGGACGACGAACGGGTGATCATTCAGCAGGCACCCCTCCTTTTTGCCACACATGTGTCAGAGCGACCGGAATCGCAAAGTCCCTGTGTGGTAATTTCTGTTGACGCTGGCAGCAGGTAAGCAGCAGGTAAGCAGTTGTCATGCTGTCTGGTGATTGCAGCAGCTGCAAAATCGCTGTAGCGGCATTTCAAACCATGGAGCAGCATGAGTACAGGCTTTATACCCGACTCTGCAGCTAATCTCCAAAATTCAACACAGCAACTCACGACCTGTTGTTGCCTGATGTTGGTCAGATCTTGCACCGGCTCGGAGCAAATGTTCCATAGAAGGTCTGAAAGCAACATTCCACAATGAAGTATATACATTTACAACATATTATGTTTTCCACGTTGGACAAATGCCGATGTTGCTTCTCAATTGAGAAACATGTTTCCTTCGCCTGTCTTCCAAACGTTCAGTGTCATCTGTCTCCAGACCTGCCAATATGGAGCCGCGAACCTTCTGTAAATTGCAGCCGTGAACCCTCTGTTCAATTGGAAAATCCACGAAAATCCTCACAGCCTGGCTTGCTTGGGGTATCCCTTGATGGCCGTGCGTACCGCCAAGTCAGCCATGATCTCCTCACTTCCTCCATAGACCTCAAGCCGGCGACGGGCTGCCATGATCTCCTCCGACCGGCACCCCCGTTTGGTTCTCCCCACAGGTGAACCTTTTGGGGCGCAGACCTGTGGAGGCCAATTGCGGAAAAAAGAGGATGACAGAGGCCTTTTTCGCGGCTGAGTGAGAGTGAGTTGTGACGGCCTCTTGGGCATCGGCATCTATCCGTCTTGATACGGACAGTGACGGCCCAGAGAGACCCGCTTTGGACCATGTTTGGACGGTTGCTGAACCAAAGCGAAAGAGAACAAACACCGCGAACAACGCGCCGCTCAACATGCCGTTGCCGGTGGCTTGTTCACTGGAAGACCCAGCTGTCCACTTCCACCACCCATCACCTCCAACCTAATAGTGATGGCCTCTAGGTTACTAGAAGCGATGCCCTTGTGAATACAGTAGCTTCTATAGCTACTATAGCTATAGTAGTCGTATGTAGTAGTGCCCCTTGTTACTTGTAGCGATGCCCTTGTTACTACTAGTGGCCTCCAACCTACTCAGGTGCAGCGAAGCGGCTGCGGGGATCTTGTACATGCGAGAGAAGACCTCCACCACACGTCCCATCCCAGTCTGCGTGACGCCTCGGCCGCCCAGCACCTGCGTGCAGCCGGCTTTCGTTCACACACGGCTCCGCGTCCGCGGTCCGGGTCCGGACGTCATCCAGTCATCCAGCAGCAAAGCCTCATTATGAGGTCCAAATCGCCATGAAGCATCCCCCTTGGCTTCGTTGCTAAAGCAAGGCTTAATCCTCCAGCTATAAGGTTCTATCTATATGACAAACAGTTTACATTTGTACATAAGGAGCGTTGAGGTTGGCTCTGCCATATTCACATGGAGGGAAAAGTCATTGATGCTGAGCCGTCAGCCCCCATCACTCCAAGAGTGGCTCTTTGGTCGAATCGTTTGATACATGATAAATCCAAAGTGCTTTCGCTCCAAAAAACGGTCACCGTTTTCAACACCGCTGTCGCTTCTCCCAAGTTTGGTCCCCGCACGGTCGCTCGCACGGTCGCTTCGGTCGAAGCAACACCATCGACGCCGCGCGAGGTGTTGGATCCCCACCAGGTGGTTCATGCGGGAGCAAACCACCTCTAGTAGCTTCTTGTTACTACTAGTAAGGCCCTTGTTACTAGAAGCG